AGTGAAAAAATCATGAGACTTAAAGGCCTTTGAAATATCTTAAAACTCCTCTCAACTTAGAAGGGGGGGGGGGAAGACAGACTGTGTCCAAAAGCTTGCCAAGAACCTTTTTCCAACTATTCAGTTGGTCTAATAATAGATATCACATCTACTCAAAGAACCTTGCTTGCCTGTGTCCTCAGACCAACATAGATACAACCAAAAACCCACCAAGATTTCAAAAAGAAATCTGGGGTTAAAAATATTTTAGCCTGTTGTGGTCTGAGTTCTTTGCAACAGAACTGTTCTATTATTTTTCCATAATCAAGAAACAAGTGAAAGCTAAAAACTGGCATTTTCTGAGGGGTGCTTTGAGTAAACAAAGGTTGAGAACTGCTGCTTTAGCAGCAAAACACCTCTAAAACTACTATCTTCACTGAGAATGCTCAAGCCTCTTACAGCTTCTACTGCTTATCACATTGTACACATGCCATACCTTGACTGGACACATGGAAGCCACAGATATAAGAGCTCAATGTCTTTCACTGCTGTGGCTGCTACAGGCCAGAACAAGACTGGACACAATAACAGAAACCAACAAAAACCTTACCTGGACATAACTTTGCTTATATCACAATATTCATCAGATTCCATTATAATGCTGAGGTCAGTAACAGTAGCAGATGTACCTTCTTCACTCTACATTGAAGAAATAATATATCTGTATATTATATAATCTTCACCATTAAAGAAGACAGACAAATTAATCCGTTTACTTAAAATCATACAATCTCAGCTACGTTAGGTACCAGTGTCCTTAAAATACAGATTCTGAAAAAAAATCTATCTGAAAATCAAATAAAAAAATCCCATCCTGTTGTATTACAAATTATTATGTCTGACAGCCACACCAAATAATTTGATCCAAACAAAATTAAGAAATGATCTATTTGTACCACACTTGTTTTTTTCTTGCATTTGTTTTATATTTTATGCCACGTATTTTTACTTTAATTTGTTTACTTTATTATAATAAAGAATAAAAATATCTGGAGAAAAATGAAATTAAATGTATTCAGAATTATAATTTCAACATATTTAAAGTTATTTTTCACAAAGCTAGAGTATGAAGAAATAAATTCAACTAATAAAACATGACTAAAAAAAATGACCAAAGACTATTTGTATTACACACTTTAAAACATGCAGGAGAACTACGTTTGGGAAAGGAATATGGAAAGATTTGAAAAACAGAACTTGGAAAGATATCCTTAAAAAGACAGCATGAATATTTCCACTGTGTACTAGGGATTATTATACTGTTTTTCCTACACCAACAAATGTGAACATATGGAAATATAAGACAGAGGGAACAAGTTTAATGGAAGTGCAGGAGTCAAATGAAAACAAATCATACTATTCTGTAGTGCTATTTGGACAGAAGCATTCTTAATCCTGTCATGAGTCAAGCTGGAAAAAGACTGCCAAAGTACTACAAAATTCAATAGCTTGAATAAGTAGCACAAGAAAAGATCATTTAAAATTTACAGCAAAATCTCAACATGAGCAGAGAGTGCAGAGTCTGCTAATAGTTACTGGCTAAAATTTTACCTTTATAAGAAACTAGTATTCCAAGAAAAGGAAAGCCAGTTTATGTCCTGATACCATCTTGCAGTCGAACAAAATAGAAATATTTAAAACATTCAAGATAAAGGCAATTGTTACTTAATTGACTGTTTCCTCAATGTTTTTCAGATTGCACGTTTACTCCCATGTATAGAAAAAGTGTGTCAATGTTCTTTTAAATAATATACCATTCCCATTTTACAGGGTGGGGGATTCTCAAACATAGACAGGATAATCCCCAAATTTTAATGTTTTGGACTAAGGCCCAAATCCTAATTTTCTAACAGTGTTAGGACACTCTCTCTGCACTGAGAAAAAAATTTGGTAGAGTGAACTTGTCTGCCACAGTGCCAGCCTTAGAGGTGGGCAATGTGGGCAACCACCCCAGGTGCCATGGTCAGGGGGTGCAACATGCACACATACATGAGCTGCCTGTGCTCACAGCAGCACTCCCCCCACCCCACCTCAGCTATTCCTGCCCCAGACAGGAGGGGCAGTGCCCAGCCCAGCCCAGCTCCCCCCTGCCTCCAGCTGCTGCTCAGGAGAAGCAGGACCAGGCACATGCAGGTGGCAGCAGCAGTCCCTGCCCACCTACTTAACACGGCATGCAGCTCCAACTCCCTGCCAGATTGTGCCCCATGCCCCTGTAATTCTGGCATTTTTGTTTGAATTTTTGCCAACCAGCCGGGATGGCTATAAAATCCAGGACTATTCCAGCCAAACTGAGACATATGGTCACCCTATGTACAAATATATCAATCCTTAAGATGCAGCATACTTTTCTAAAACATAAAAATAGTACATTGTCAGTCATAAGTAGCTAAATACTGCCATCTAATGGTATTTTAAATATTCTCATACAAAATTAAGAAGTTTGGGGGGAATTAACATTTTAACATGTAATTATGCATATTCAATCAAATGCTGAGTTCACAAGGTACTAAAATGAGGTCCAAGAAGTTGGAAAATCATGCAAATGAGTAAGTGACAGTAAATGCAAGTCCCTCTCTGGTTTCATCAAGGCTAGGCTGCTGTCCTCCAGAGAAGGACCTGGCAGTTACCACTGACCATAAACTGAATGTGAGCCAACAGTGTGCCCATGTTGCAGAAAAAAGGCCAACAGCATACTGGGTTGTATTAACAGGAGTGTCACTTACAAATGAAGGAAAGTGATTCTTCTGTTCTATTCACCACTGGTGTGGCCTCACATGGTATACTCTGTACAGTTTTGGGCCCCACACTTCAAGGCTGTGCACAGATAGGAAAGAGCCTAACACAAAGCAACAAAAATGATTATGAGCCTGAGAAGCAAAACCTATGAGAAAATGCTGAAAGAACTAGGGTTATTTGGTCTGCAAAAGAAAAGACTGGGGAGGAATTTGATAGCAGTCTTCAAATACCTGAAAGGTGATGATAGAGAAGCTGAAGATGGGATTTTCTGTGGCCAAAGGGGACAGAAGTAGAAGCAACAGCCTCAAGCTGCCCCAGAGGAAATTTAGGTTGGACATTAGAAAGAATTTTCTAACTCGCAAGCATTGGAAATTTTCAAAAGCAAGTTAAACAAACACCTGTCTGGGATGGTTAAGTCAGGGATGACTGTGGTTTGAGTAGGGGGCTGCACTAGATGACCATGAAGTCCCTCCCAGTCCTACTTTGTTATAATCCTACCTATCTCTACTTTTTGGTCAGCAGCCCAAAGTGAAGTTGGAGCAGAGAAACTCTAGTGGAAAAAACAAACATAGAAAAGGCATCAGAGACTGCTTTTTAAAAGTGAAATTCTCTCTAAGCCAGTGATTCTCAACCAAGGTGCCACGACACCCTGAGTTCCCTTGAGATCCTCTCAGAAGTGCCACAGAACACCACACAATGATAGTACTGTTAGGTGTGCAAACATGATTCACAAGATAAACCCAAAGATTTCAAATAGAAATCCATATTAAAAACATTCTGACCTGCTGTGGTCTTTTTAAGTCCTTTGCAACAAAATTCCTCTACTACAGGTATATTTCAGTAAGAAAAAAAACTTGTGAAAATGAACAGCTAGCATTTTCTGAGGGCTGCCTGGAGTCTTATACAGGACGCTCTGAGTATAAGAGGCTGAGAACCACTGTTCTAAGCAAATGAGCCATCCCATCAGAATGCACAGAAGGAATAATCAAAGACAAGGCTTTGCCTTTCCAAGGATAACTAACTTAACTCTCAGACTCAAGAGGGATGCAGATCCAGAGGAAGTGTATTTAGATGTTTATTGATTTGCATAAATCTATAATTCTCTCATGTTAAGAATATAACCTGCGTTTATCCTTTTGCAAAATACAGTAAAAGCCCTGTTTTCCGGCATGAGTGGGGAATGGGGGATAATACTAAAAATGCTGGTTACCTGAGGCACAGGGATTTCCGGCCAGATGCAGAGCAGGGTGGGAGGGGGAGAGGATGGCGGCCACACATGGAGTGGGGGGGTTGGCAGCAGCTGCACACGGAGCAGCAACAGCACAGGGGGATGGGTAGCAGCGGCCACCGCCACATGTGAGCTCCCCCCTCTACATCCAGCCACCTGGCCGGAAATTCTGGTTAACATAAATGCTAGGTGTTAAATTCCGGAAAACAGGGCTTTTACTGTATGCAGATATTGGTTTAACTTCCCTTGAATGCAGCTATGAACCACACTAACCATAGATACACAGGGCTTCAGGAGAAGTGTAAAGCAGCTGAAAAGGCTTCTTCAGCTCCCCATGATAGAGTGCTCTGTACTTCATCTGTACTCACCTAGGAAGGGTGCCCAGTCTAGCCTGCTCCCCTTTTCCAGCCACTTTACAGGAGGAGCCAGACTGGCCATGTGGCACCTGCTCCAGTCCACCCATCTTGCTCCCAGACAGCAGCAGTGCCTGCCCACCTGCCTGGTGCACCATGCTGATCTGCCTCCCACTGGACTGTGCCCCATGCCTCTGCCTGCTTGCCTCTGCCTCCAGCAGCCAATTCCAGAACTTCTGCTTCAATTTTCACCAACTGGCCAGGATGCTGACACGGCCTACAAAATCTGGGACTGTCCCAGCCAATTCAGGCATATGATCATCCAAATTAAAAGAGAATTGGCTAAGCACATGCAGGTACCAGTCCCAGCTTTCTTCTAATTCAAATACTGTACACACTCATTTGGAATTCTCTTTTTTTAAATATTCTAATCTCCAGGGATCTGGGTTTCTCACTTGCTGCAGAAAAAGTGGATTTTCTCCTTTAAAAGGAGAAAAACCTGGAAATCCATGGGTTTCCCATTGCAGGCTGGCAGACTTCTAGCCTGCAAAGACCTGCTTGGGATTGTGAGGAGTGGGATAGAGGGGGCACAGGGCACCACGTGTATGGGCATGCACACATATGCATGTGGCAGCCAGGAAGTGTGGTGGACAGCAGCTCCCGCAGTTCCCGGCAGAGAAGTCTATGGGGGTGGAGGAGGGGGAAGGGGGTGCACAGGGGATGCAG